TATTGAGGATTTTTTAATCTATGTTCATTAGGGATATTGGCCTATGGGTTTTTTTTGTTGTGTTGCAGAAAAATATTAAAGAGTGGTAAAGAAACATGGAAGACAATGTACCAACATATATCTAATAGAAGTTCAAAAAAGGCTGGGTGCGGTGGCTCATGCCTGTAATCCCGGCACTTTGGGAGGCCGAGGCGGGCAGATCACTTCAGGTCAGGAATTCAAGACTAGCCTGGCGAACATGGTAAAACCCCATCTCTACTAAATATACAAAAAAATTACCCGGGCATGGTGGTGAGTGCCTGTAATCCCAGCTACTCGGGAGGCTGAGGCAGAACCGCTTGAACCCAGGAAGCAGTGGTTGTTTTTCTTGAGACTCCATCTCAAAAAAAAAAAAGGTTAAAAAAAAAAGAGACAGAGGAACTGGATACAATGGGAGAAGAGGCATAATACATACAGGCACAATAAAATGGAAAGGAAAATAAACCCAGAAAGTCGGTATGACTTGAAAAAAAAAAAAATTCACACAACAGGCTAGGCATGGTGGCTCATGCCTATAATCCTCATCATTTTGGGAGGCTGAGGAAGGAGGATCGCTTGAGACCAGGAATCCAAGACCAGCCTAAGCAACAGTGAGACCTTGTCTCTGAAAAAAATTAAAAATAAAAAAAGTCCACAAAACAAAATAGATAAGCATCTTTTCCACATGTAGGAAATAGATAATAAATCAGTAAGCAAACAAAATAATGTAAGATTATAAAGGCTAAGCACAGTGGCTCACGCCTGTAATCCCAGCACTTTGGGAGGCCAAGGTGGGCGGATCACCTGAGGTCAGGAGTTTGAGACCAGCCTGGCCAACATGGTGAAACCTCGTCTCTACTAAAAATACAAAATTAGCCAGGCGTGGTGGCAGGCACCTGTAATCCCAGCCACTCGGTAGGGCTGAGGGAGGAAAATCACTTGAACCTGGGAGGCAGAGGTTGCAGTGAGCCGAGATTGCGCCACTGCACTCCAGCCTGGATGACAAGAGCAAAACTCAGTCTCAAAAAGAAAAGTAAATTTTTTATAAAATGTATTAAAGTTAATATTATTTGTAGGAGAGGTGATATTCCTAAAGAACATGTACCTTTTCTTTTGTTAAGATAGTTTTTTTTTTGTTTTTTGTTTTTACTTTAAAAATAAATTTTATTGCATATATGAGTTTTACAACACAATGTTATGGGATACATATGGGCAGTAAAAGGGTTACTACAGCGAAGCAGATTAACAAATCTCTAGTGAAGTGGATCCACAAATCTCACACAGTTTCTTTTATTGGTGACAAAAGTACCTAAAATTGGCTTATCAAACACACTCTTGCCATTAATGTTTTAAAGAATGTATTTGTTTGTCTTCACAAAAAAAATGAGGAAATTATTTGCAGTAAAAATTGGTTTTTATGAAAGCAAGATGCCGGGCGCGGTGGTTCACGCCTGTAATCCCAGCACTTTGGGAGGCCAAGGCAGGCGGATCATGAGGTCAGGAGTTCTGAGACCAGCCTGACCAATATGGTGAAACCCATCTTTACTAAAAATACAAAAACTAGCCGGGCATGGTAGCACACGCCTGTAATCCCAGATACTCAGGAGAGTAGAAAAATCAATTGAACCCAGGAGGCGGAGGTTGCAGCGAGCCAAGATTGCGCTACTGCTCCCCAGCCTGAACAAAAGAGGGAGATTCTGTCTCAAAAAAACAAAACAAACAAGCAAGATGATGGATACATCAGAGTAACTGGCCTAACTTTGGATAATGCAATGTTTACTTCTTAACAGCACTATTGACATTTATGGGCCGGATGATTACTGTAGGGAGCTGTCCTGTGCGTTGTACCATGTATATAGCATCCCTTGTACCATGTCTCTACCTACTACACACCTGTAGCACCCTCCCGCCTGTGATAACTCAAAATGTCTCCAGACATTCCCCAAGTCCCTTAAAGGGCAGAACTGTCCCCAGTTGAGAACTACGGTGTTTAGGGAGGGTTTCTGAGGAGATGCCATTGGAGCTGGGATCTGAAGAAAAGCATCAGCTAGCTTAACGGTTGTAGGAAGTTCATTCGAAGGAGACGAGACAACAAGTCCAATGGCCTTCACTCAGGAAAAGGTCTTGCATATTTGAGACACCAAAACAAGACTAGTGTGGCTGCGGCGTAGTGATTGGGAGAAGAAAAGCACGAGAAATAAAATGAGGGAGAGAAGTAGAGGCGGCAGGGGTGGGTCTACAGAGCTTTGTAGGCCATAACAAGGAATGATCTGATTTCTAATATTCAAAAAGCCGCTCTGGCTGCTATGTGAGAGTAGAAAACCCTGTAGGAGGGCAATCGTGGGGGAGGAAAGACCCTCCTGAGGCAACCACTTCGGCAGTGCAGAGGACAGTGGTGGGAGGGGCGGAGGGAAGTGGGCAGGTGCCAGAACCATGGTAAAGGAAGGGTTCCATGAGAATGCTTGCACAGCAGTGGCAATCGAGGGCTGCATCCGCACGGGTAGCCGACACAGCACAGTAGCACAATGGCTCCCAACACTCAGAAGAAGCACCTTGCTTTCCCGCCTTCCTCCGTTCCTATTGCCACCATAATCTCTGTATAATCTGGGCCAAACGTGTTATCTCTCTGGGTCCCACAGATGAGATACCGTGCCCTGCCTCGAAGGATACCCGTGCGAAGTTCTTGCCATCTCTAAAGCATGCAGGTTGCCTGGCACCCGGGGCCAAACAAGGGCCAGTGCCCTCCTTCACCGCGCAGCCCCCAGGCCTGCAGCCCCTCGGGGGGTGCAATGCCCCAGGTGCAGATTCTGCCCCCCGGCCCCTCTCTCCCACACCTGAGCAGGCTTGCGTCTCCCAGGGGAGGTCGTCCCCCGCCACTCGGGAGGGTTTTGGAAACCAGTGTCTCGGCTTCCCCGCCGCCCGCGAAACAGGTGTCTGCTGGCTGAGCTAGTGAGAGGCCCTGGCAGGCTCTCAGTACGCGGGAACCACGAGTCCCGCCCGCCCTCCCGCACCAGGCCCCACGCTCTCGGGGCCCAGTTCACCCGCCTCTCCTCGGCCCCGCGCCTCCTCCTTGGGCCGGGGCCTGGGGAGAGCCACCAGGGCCGCGCGGCCGCCTCACCCCTCTCGAAGTCCATCTCCTCCAGCGTCTGCTGTACGCCGAGCACCGCGCTGGGCTGCGAGCAGCAGGGCCCATCCGCGCAGGGCCTCGGCGTCGCCATCATGGCCCCGGCGCCAGCCGACCTGCCCCGGGTCTCACGCGCGGCCTCGGCGGGAGGGGCGGACGCAGGGCCCGCCCCGCGTCCCGGATCTGGCTGCTTGGCGTCCGCGGCTGTCGTCCTAGTCCCGCCTCCTCGCCAAAACCTACCAATCAAACGCCTAGGCCTTAGCTCGAGAACCAATTGCAGAGGTAGGGCGGGGCTTGTTGCGCCGGGCCATGCCCCGAGGCGGCCGCGCGAGGGCGTCAGAGGCTAAGCGGAGGCGCTGGGTTCCGGGAGCGGCGCGCCGCAGGAGGACCTTTAGGCCGCCTGGCCTTGCCGGGTGTGGGGATGAGGCGGCTGGGTCCGGTCGGGAGCTTTCCAGTTACCTTCACCATGACCCAGCCCTCCAGCGACCTCTCTGGCTCCTCTCTTTACCGCCTCTAGTCCCGCCGGGCCGCTAGGGCAGGGAGGCGCCACACGCTCTGCGGTCTCTTTTTTTTTTTTGAGACCGAGTCTGGCTCTGTCACCCAGGCTGGAGTGCAGTGGCGCGATCTCGGATCACTGCAGCCTCCGCCTCCCGGGTTCAAGCGATTCTCCTGCGTCATACTCCTGAGTAGCTGGGATTACAAGCGCCCGCCACCACGCCTGGCTAATTTTTTGTATTTTTAGTAGAGACGGGGTTTCACCCTGTTAGCCAGGGTGGTCTCGATCTCTTGACCTCGTGATCCGCCCGCCTCGGCCTCCCGGAGTGCTGGGATTACAGGCGTGAACCATCGCGCCGGGGCGCGCTCCGCGGTCTTTACCCCCTCTTCCTGGCACCACCCTGGGCCAAGGCCGATTGCCCCCGAGGCAGCGGCAAAGTGACGGCTGGAAAGGTCTCGTCCCCGTACCCCGCTCTTCCTTACAAGTCCAGCAAGGGGCTGGTGGCCACAACTTCTCCTGCTTGTAGCTCTACCTCAAGGGCAGGGGCAGGGCCTTGGTTTGTGTAGAACCCCCTGGCCCCACAGTGGGCGCCGAGTTTACCGAATCGGTCTTCACGATCAAAACCCTCTGGGCGGCCGTCTGCAGACCGTGAACCCGCGCAGCGTGCTCCTCAGCAGACCCCAGCCTTCTCAATTCCCAGTTAAAACCCAGGCAGCTGCCTGCTCAAGCCACGATCAAGTGTACAGGGGAGACCTCACTTCCACGGCCTGACTGGTTTAGAAAGGGTGCACGAGCAACAGAATGCAGGTTGGGTTCTGTGCCAGTCCCTCTCCAGGACAGTGGTCTGGTGCACACTGGGTGTAAATTCCTTCCCCCCCCCTAGTTGGGGCACTGAAGACCCTAAGCATTCGTGGTGGGTAGAAGGCTGGAAGTCATTTCTCGTCCCCTAAGCGGGTTGAGAACCCCATCCTCACACAAACAACGATCTCATCTCCACAACCTTCCACTCCTTTGGCCCCTCACTCCCACTAACCGTCCTGAGTTCTGGGAAGGCACCCCCGCCCCCCAACTCCACTTCTCCCCTGGACTCCCAGTGCCCTGACTTCTCCTTCTGGCCAGAAGCCAAAGCTGGCTCCCAAGGGGCTGTGGCCATGGTCTGGTTCCCAGCGCCGCAGCCACCACTGTGGGAAAACACTGGAGCTGGGCTGTTCCCTCCCACAGGCAGGCAGGCAGGGACCACAAAAGTGGTGGCCGCCCTGGGACTGTGGGGGAGGCCCTGTCCAGCCTCCCTCCACCCAGAGAGCTTTCCCTCTCGGTACCCAGAAGGGCTTTAGCCCAAACATCTTAGCCCCATCACAGAAATCGTTTCATTTTCTCCATTTTATTTGTCAATATAAAAATACTCAAATATTTACAACAAATAAATACGCGGGGACACAATAAGTTACACCGTTGGGAGCCCCCCTCCTAGGGCTGGAAGAGAGTATGCCATTATCCACAGCAGTCCCACCCTCTCTCCCCTCACACAGCCTTTCCCAGCCCTGTACAGGAAGAAGGCAAATATAAAATACCACTGAACCCCAGGGCCAAGTGGGAGGCCCCACCCACCCTTCCCCCAAAACACACAGGAGGCTCCATCTCCCTCCCCCCACCCTGAAAACATTCACAGCCCTAGGAGCAGGACTAGGCCCACCCCGAGCCCTGCACTCCCCCTGAAGGGGCACAGCACCCTGTCCACCCCACCCCCATATGTACATCGCTGCCCGACATTCGGGACAGTGGGGGTAGGAGAGGCAAAGTGATACGACCCCTTCCCCTTCATAGCTCCAATGACTCACCAGGAGGACCCAGGCCAAGGGAAGACTTGACAGAAACAGGAAGGCTATGCCACAAGCGCACACGCACGTGCACACACACACATACACACACACAGACACACAAACACACGTGCAAATACAAACACACATCTTGACATTTCTGCCTTGAAAAGTTTTGGCGGCTGGGGTCCCGCGTGTCTGTGATTCACAGAGAGGAAGATGCCTCCTGCGAGGCTGGTGCCCTGGTGAGCCACACCAAGTGGCAGTGCCCGTGCTGAGCAGAGCAGGTCCTCATGGCCGGGTGGGTGCTGGGCAGTATCCGTCCCAGACAGAGCAGGTGCCCATGCCATGTCCCTGAGGTAGCTGGTGCCTGTGCAAAAGTAGGAGCTACACCTCCCACGCTTCCCGCCGACGCGGTGGGGGTTTCCCCTCATACTGATGACTCCTCGGGGTTGGAGTCGGGCAGTGGCTGGCGTTGCTGCAGTTTGCGTCTCAGTTCATCCGCAAGCTCAGGCAGGGGGTGCCCGAGCCCTCCCCGGTCCTCCCCTCCTAGTTGTAAGCGCACGTAACCATTGGCATTTGAGTTCCGCCCACCCCCCAAGTGAAGCCGAGTTGGAGAAGGCAGAGGCTGGCCTGGGATGCCTGGAGGTGGCGAAGGGGGCCCCCCGCCGGGCTGGCACCGGGCATGCCCAGGTACTATCTTAAGGGAGCCATCTGAATAGTAGTAACCGACAGGATCCCAAAGTTTCTCATCTGGTTCAGGACAGGGCCGGAAGGGGGGACTGGTGGGCTCCTTGGGCAGCTCCAGGGGGTACACCAGGGTCCTCTCAGTAGCCTTGGCCCCTTTCTCCAGCTCTTCCCGCAGCCGCCGGCGCAGTGACAGCACCAGCAGCAGCAGCACCAGGCACACGGCCCCCAGGGCCACCACCGCCAGCCACACCAGCCCCAGGTTTTCCAGGGGGGCCCGGGCCTCCAAGGTCACCGACGGGCCTGCCACGACAGCCACAAGGTAGCCTTCAGCAGCTAGCCGCGCCCCCTGCTCCTCTGAAAAGCAGTGGTAGGCCCCAGCGTGGCGGGGCTGGGCGGCCATCACAACTAGGGCCTGGAGCCGGGCATCGTAGAGGAAAGAGCCGGGCTGTTCCGCAGGCAGGTCCCGGCCCCCAAAGGTCCAGCGGGCATGGGCCAAGTTGGAGGAGAGGTGGCAGGGCAGCACCAGGTCTGTGCCCGCCACCACCGTGATGTTTTTGGGAGTGGCCCTGACTGTAGTGGCAGAGAAAAAGAGAGTGCATGTTAGTACAGGAAAGCAGGGCTAGGGAAGAGGAGAACAGAAACTCCAGCTCTGGTCCGGGCTCAGCCCGATGCGAGGGGAATGAAAAAGCTCACCTTTCTTACTGCCTCGGAGGTTGCAGATGCCTGAAGTGTCCGAGATCATCACGTGCTGGATCAGCAGAGATCTGGTAGGGGATGGAGGGTACATCAGCAGCCTGGCTCCAACCACCCTGAGTCCCTGCTGGTCCTGGTCTATGTAGAGCCCAACTCACCCAGAGTGGCCACCCACGGCCACACAGCGGCTGGTGTTGACGCTCCAGGCACAATAGGGGTCCCGGGCGAGGACACAGTCTGCACAGGAGCGGTACTTCATGCAGTCGGCCAGGGGCAGCTGCACCAGCTGAGAGCGGGAGCCGGCAAAGAGCAGCTTCTGCGAGAGAAGCGGGGCGCAGAAGGGGGGTCAGCCAGGGCCACACCGTGGGAGGGGCGGCCGGACCAGAACGCAGCACGGGGACAGCTTGGACTTCTGCAGGGGGCACAGGACGGGGCACCAGAAGGAGGAACAAGGGAACGAGGCAGAGCTGTAGTGCTGAAAAGGGAACTCTAAGAACTGCAGAACGCAAAGGGCTTACGCAGGCCAGATGCAATCCTAAGCCCCTTAGAGACGTGACCTTATTAGAAAGGGATGTGGGGCTGTGAGGCCAAAAAGTATAATCATACACACTCACACACATAGTGCGGGAAATACATTTCTCTCAAGGCCCATCAGCCCTCACGACAGCAGCAGCATAACATAAGATGTTTTCCTGTTTCAACAGTGGATGCCAATCTGTGGGTTTCTTCAACCACACACTTTCTTTCTGCCATTATTCCATGTTCTGGGGGACAATTTTGAGTCACAGTAGGTGGTAAAAGGCAAACAAATCAAAGTTCAGGAGGTGTAGTAAACATGCCACAAGAGTATTGCACAAGGCAACTGGGCACAGCAGGTCATGCCTGGAATCCAAGCACTTTGGGAGGCTGAGGTGGGCAAATCTCCAACTTGAGGTTAGGAGTTCAAGACCAGTCTGGCCAACATGGTAAAACCTTGTCTCTACTAAAGATACAAAAATGAGCCGGGCATGGTGGCATGTGCCTGTAGTCCCAGTTACTTGGGAGGCTGAGGCAGAATTGCTTGAACCTGGGAGGTGGAGGTTGCAATCAGCTGAGATCACGCCACTGCACTCCAGCCTGGGCGACAGAGTGAGACTCCATCTCAACAACAACAACAACAAAAAACCTTTAGCTGGGCGTGGTGGCAGGCACCTGTAATCAATCCCAGCTACTCAGGAGGCTGAGGCAGGAGAATAGCTTCAACCTGGGAGGTGGAGGTTGCAGTGCACTGAGATCGCATCACTGCACTTCAGCCTGGGTGACAGAGTGAGACTCCGACTCAAAAGAAACCAAAAGGAGTATTGCACAAGGATATAATGCAAGCACTTCAGGGAAACAGTCACGGACATGGAGGGCGGGGACCAGAGAGCGGCTGGGGCTGGAGGAACCCATGGTGAAGGCACTCCAGGGGGGGGGGGCTGTAAGCGGGGGGGGGGGGACAGGTGGAGTCGAGACTGGCTACAGGTGAAACGTCTACAAAAAAAAAAAAAAACTAGGGCGCGGGGCGGGGGGAGCCCAGGGGCTGAGGCAGGGAAGGGGACCGGGAGCGAGTGCAGTGGCTGAGAGGCACTGCATCCACTGGGGCAGAGGACGTCTCAAAAAACAAAACAAAAAAAAAAAAAAACATCTCACAGGCTGGGAGGTCTGGTCACAGGGGCATGGTCAGGGAAGAGGCCAGAGCCAGGACCACAGCACAGCTTGGAGGGTCTGAAGGAAACATGGGAGTAGTTACCAAGGCTTGATGCTGGGAGTGCGGCCTCGTGACCTGGCTGTATATAATGGCCCCGTGCAGCGCAGATTCCATTCTGTTTTCATTCTCGTTTCCAGGAACCCACCCCAGGTTAGGCAAGGTGTGCGTCCATGCGTGTGTGTGTTCCTAACTCTGCACTGGCCAAGCATGTAGGCCCAACTGGGAGAAGCAGCCAGACAGACAGAGCGAGAAGGACAGTGCTGGGGACGGTGGCAGATAGGGCCCAACTCACTACCTTGCTCTGAGCCAGCACCAGGCTTCCCATGGGCTCCTGGTCAAACAGCTGCAGCTCTTCAATCAGGTGAACCCAGGGCCCCAGGCTCACGGCCTTGAGCAGCCAGCCATCTCCTGAGGGGTGCAGACGGGAAGGTGTAAATGACAGGGCACAGGGCTGTGGGGCAGCTCCAAATCTCCCTGCCCTGGGCACATGGGCTTCTGCCCAGCCTCGAGCAGCCATGCCTGCATACCCATGCACCCACCTGTGCCAATGAACAGCACTGTATAGGTGGCTCCATCAAGTCCTGTAACCCGGTCGGCCACCAGGTGGGTGAAGTTGGTGCCCTTCTTCACGAGCAGGGGGCGGCTCCACCGAGGCCCCACCTGCTCCTCCATCAGCGGGTGCTTCTTGATGAAGTTGAGGGTGTTGTCAGGCAGCTCCAGGGAGCTGGTGTAACCGTGGCGCCGGTGCCAGTTGTTAATGCACTGGGGGCAGGATATGGGGGGCAGGCCATCAGCAGGGTGGGATGGCACCGCAGCTAGGTGGGGAGACGTATCCCTGCCCCAGCACTCACCGAGCCAGGCCGAGGGCTGGGTACAGGGTCGGTGTAGCGGCCCCACTTCTGGGCTTGCTCCCGGTACTCCTTGTAGGGGCCCTCAAACACCCGCTGGATCTCTTCCAACTGGTACTCACAGACGGCCGACAGGTACATGTCACCCCTGTCGCAGTGAGAGGGAGCCCAGGGTCAGGTACCCACCTTATCCCCTTCCCACCCCAGCTCAGGGCAAGCAGCAGGAAGGCAAGGCCCGGCACAAAACAGCCATGGGTACCAGAATGCCCTGGCAGCTCAAAAGTGCCACCTGGCATAGGGCCCTGCCTGTTCACAGGCAGCTCGGAAAGGGGCAGGTGCCAGCCTTCTCCTTGGCTTCTGGACACCTGGCTTCCTGGACTGCCTCCGAGGCCCGGTCCAGGTTCCCACCCATGCACCATCTCTGATCTGAACCCCAGCTCCTCCCCACTCTGCAGGAGCCCTGGCCAACTCACCACCGCGCTTGAAAAACCCCAAAGAAGGTGGTGTTGTGCCAGGAGGTGTCCTGCAGGGTGTGCACCGCCTGCAGCTGGTTGAAGTAGAGCTGCCAGTCCGGGGCAGAGCACGCCAGCCGCGCCTTCAGGAACGTGGTCCACTTCTTCTGCAGGGTCCGCGCGCCCCCCATATCGCCCTGGCAGACGGCAAGGGGACACTGCCGGTCAGCCCCGCCGGGCCAGCAGGGCTCCCAGGGCCCACCGCTGTGAGACTTGGTACCTTGCAGACGCGGGCCACACGAGCCACCACCTGCTCAGCATAGCAGTCAGACTCCACCGCCCTCTCCCTGAAGAAGAAGTAGACCTTGTCGTCGTCCCCCGTGAAGCTGCCCACACTCTCCGGTACATAGGCAGAGCCTACAAAGTGAGGTTCTGTGGGAACGGGAGGAGGTCAGCAGGGAGGCGCTGGGCCCTGGGGGGCCTCCCACCCATGGCTCCCACAGGCCCCCGGGGGCTCACCGTTGAGCCAAAAGGCCAGGTACTCTGTCTTCATGGAGTGGTGCGGCCCCATGTTACGCAGGATAATGGGTTCCGTGCCCAGGAAGTTGTTGAGTGTGGCCGAGTACAGCTCACCATCTAAGGGAGACAGCAGTCAGCTACAAACCGTACATGAGATATGGACACATCCGGCCAACACAGCCCCAAGTGGAACCAAGCCCCAAGGATTCACCCAGCCTGCATGGGGGGCAGCCACTCACCCACAAGGAGGCCAGTGTGGCCCTTAGCTGGGTCATAGGGACACTTGCCCTTCCCATCTTCAAATTCTCCACGCTCCAAAGTGAAGGTGAGCATGTTCTAGGGACAGAGAGAGAGGTGATGAGGAGATGCTCAAGGGCGGGGCCCTGGGGGCCACATCCAAGAGTCCAGAGAAGGGCGAGGAGGGCGGGGGACTGGGGATACCGAGATGGGAGGGCAGCACTCACGATGTAGGTGCACTTGGGCTGGAAGGCATAGGTGCCACAGGCGTACAGGTGGGAGGCATTGTAGGGCTGCAGGAAGCGGATGAAGTTGAAGCACTCGGTCTGGGGGCAGAAAGATGTCCGGTTAGTGAGAGCGTGAGGCCCAGAATGGGAGGAGACGCCCTGGGGTGAAGGCAGCGCCAGGAGCAGCGTCCAAGCACCCACCTGGTTGTTCTTCCCTTTCTGGATACACTCAGTCTTCTTCTCCGCAGGGGCCTCCCAGGAGATCTGGGGACAGGGAAGGGGACGTCAGCCACGTCACAGGTACGGACTGAGCACGTGTTACATGCACAGCCTGCAGCAGCAACACAGGGACGCCCAGCGCAGAGGTATGGGCCCTATTCTCTGGGGGCTTCCTTCAGTACAGAATGGAAGCCCCAAACCACCCCACTACACAGAATTCAGTAAGTGCCAGAGAGAAGAGGAATGCCGCATGCTGACCCCAACCAGAGGGCAGGTCCCAGATGCCCAGTGGCAGCACTTCTGTGGGGGCCGCCAGGCGGAGGGACCACCTGGCCAAGCACAGCCCCTCTGCACCTTGCCCTCTGGCAGGCCTGCCTGCCTCCCGCTGCCCCACCTCTCACCGCTCCTTGCAGCTCCAGGGCCTCCATGCTGAAAGCAAACAGGGCCTCTCGGGCCCCCACGTACAGAAGCCCAGTCTGCTCCGTCAGCGTCAGCGTCAGGAAGTCCTGGATGCCCGTCTGGGAGAACCGCCGCACTACCGTGGCCAGCTCTGCAGGGGTAAGCGTGGCTGCTGATGGGCAGGACCCCTGGGGCTCGACAGCCCTCAGTCTTCCTCCATGAGAGCCACCACCCCATGCCACAAACAGATGCCAGTCAAACCCCCTGACTGGCAATAAAGGACACTTTTGAAACAGCCTTTGGCCCTGACAGCTCCACCCGGGCCTCCCTAGCCTTTCCTAGGCTGCGAGGAGGCAAATCCAGGCTGCTGGGCGGAAGGAAGGATATCTCAGCCACAGCTTCCGGCCAGAGGAAGCCATCAGACTGATGGCTCTTGCTCTCAGGGTCAATGGCACCTCCGGCCACAGGGCTGGGCTGGGCACCCCCACCCCACCCTCACTTCCTCGGCTGCTGCTTCCTTCTTTGCCCTGCTGCCCGCTGCCTCTATCAGAGTCCAGCAGGGCAGGAGGCACAGATGGCTATGAGTACTCCCTGCCTCAGGAAACCCTTCACTCCAGGAGGACCCCAATCCAGGCTGCCAGAGATGCGAGCACAGCAGGCCACTAGGACAGGCGGGGATGGCAGGAGGGGAGCTGGGCTGTGAGCCAGGCCAGGGAGGTCCGGAGAAACTAGGGGCTCAGAGAGCAGAGATGGGGCTGGGGCCTAGGAAGTCTTGCTGCCACCCGGCGTTCAGGGCACCATGACATTTATATAGTCACGTGATTCCTATATCAGCTGCCAAATATGGCTGCCAACCTGTCCTCAGGGTCCCCCCAAACCAGCCTTAGTCTCTGGAGGCAACGATGGCTCCAGACACAGGCCAGCATGGCAGGGCTTCACTGGCACCTGAGTGGAGCCTGTGGGAGGTGAGCTCATCCCAGGTCCCCAGAGCGCACGGCTGATACAAACACTTGACATCACCTTTCACACGGGTGTGTGCACACGGGGAACTGCGGGGTCCCCACTGTGCCCCGGCAACCATGTGAGCATGTGCACATACACACACACTTCCAGGGCCACCAGAGGGTATGATGACTACAGGGCAGTAGGAGGTCTTAGGGGGGCCCTGGGGAGCCAGGGGAGAGAGCCTCCAGTTTGTATTTATCCCGGTTCTAGTTTCTCTTTAGGCTCCCAGCACCAGTGACAATTCAAGAAGTGAGGTGTGGAGAGGGCGAGGCAGAAGGTTCTCCCTCGCACACCTGGGCAGGCAGTCTGGGGTGGGGAGTTGGACAGAGCTCCCCCAGAGGAGGCTAACCCCAGGTCCCAACCTGCACTGCCTGTTCTTGGACCCTGGGGTCACTCGAGTTTCTTAGAAAGCTGTGCCACACACATCAGAATAAAGGGGGGCAACTCCTCAACAGCCTGTCCCCACTTCCTCCTCACCCCTCCAGGCACTCACCCCCAGAAGCCACTGTCTTCCGCGGCACAAGGTTCCACCACACCTCAGCCCCAATGCCCAGGCCCCACAGCCTTGCTGCCAGCAGCCAGACAGCCCAGTGTGGGGCCATGGCGCAAGCCCCAGCTCTGAGCTTCAGGCCAGCTGTCCTGCTGAGGGAAAAGACATGGTCAGAAATCACAGCCAGAGAAAGCAAACCAGAGGGGCCCGCAGCAGGAGAGGCCACGGGACTCCTCATCAGGCCTTCCAGGAGCCCTGGTGCCCTCCTTCCCCTTCTCTTTGGAGGTGGACCTAAGTCCCCACACTTGGCCTCTGCCTAAAAGACCACGGGTCTCCCTGGGAAGCGGGGAGGAGTTGAGTCGGCTGCAGGCTAAACAGGCTCCGGGAAGCCCTCCTTGGCCTCCAGACCCCCCACTACCTCTGCACAACCGGAAGTCATTTGAGAAAAAAGGGGACCCCCCCCCGACATACACACTCAGGCCTAAGAGATTTGAGAGTTTCTTGAAAGAATCTCAGGCAGAAGGCCTTGCAGCCACTGGGGCTCCGGACCCCGTCAACACCTAATTCTGGGAGGAAAACTCCTTAGCGCGACGGGGGCATGCGGTGGGGTAGGCGGTCGGGAAAGCCCCACAGGGAGACCTGGTGCGGCCGGCTGCGGGCGGAGGTCCCTGTCCCGGCCTGTCCCCTTCCCCAGCGCAGACAATAGCCCGGCAGAACCCCAAACCCCGTTCCACATCAGCAGGGCAGGAGTGGGAGCAGAGCCGGGAGCGAAGGGGCCCAGCTTCCCGAGGCCCCTTTGTTGCCCAAGAGGGAGGCAGGAAGTGGGTGGGATGGGCGTGGAAATGACCAGGGCCTCATCCTGTTCCTCGCGCTGCCTCCTCCGAGACACCAGCCCTCTGGCGGAGGGGCGGCGGGGGCAGCGAGCTCGGGTCGAGTCGGGGACTCCGGCGGCGCGCGCGGGCGGTGGGGGGAAGGAGGGGCAGGGACGTGAGGGGCTTCCCCCACCCCGACCGCTGGCAACACGCCGCGCACGGCCGGCACCCGCTGCGCTCCCGCGGCTCTGACGAACCTTCCCAACTCGGGGACTGCGCCCCAGGGACCCTGGCCTGGGCGGGCCAGCGGGACTGGCTTCCCCCGCTCCAGCCTTCCCGTGCCGGGGGCGGAGATGCAGAAGCTGGGGACCTGCTCACCCCCAAACAAAGGGTCCCTGCCAAGACCCCGTCCCGGGTCCCCCCGGGTTCTCCCCTCCCCCAGCTCCAGGGATTTGAACGCAAACAAAGCGGCGGCGCGGGGAGCGTGGCGAGCCCGGCCTGCGGACGCCCCCTGTCGGCCCAGAGCCCCGGCGCGGGAGGGCGGGGGGCGGGGGCTGCGCCCCAGCCCAGCCCCGCAAAACGCCCCCGGCCCCATCTCGGTTCCTTACCCGAGGATCGGGCTGCACCCCGCGGCGTGCTCCGAGGATCCGCCCGGTAGCGGTGCGCCCACCCGCAGCAACCCCAGGGCGAGCAAACGGGCAGCCAGGGGGAGGGGGCTGGGAGGAGGGGTGCTGGCTCCAGGCGGGGCGCCCCACACCCTCGCCCACCCCGAGCGGCCAGACGTGGACCGCGGCGCTCCCTGCAGGGCGAGCGCTCCAGCCGGGGACAGCGCGGCCCGGCTCGGCCCGGGGGCCTGGCTTTCCGGGACAACCCGCCTCCCCAGCGGAACGGGCGGGCGGGCGGGCGGGCGGGGGGCCGCGGCAGGGAAATCCGATCCCACAACATCGGCCTCGCTCCAAGCCCGCCCCAAACTTTCCATCGGGGGTGGGAGCGCCGAGGGCAGTCCGGGAGCCTGGCGAGGATCCCGGCCGCGGACCGGACCGCGCGAGGAACCCTCACTGCCCGTAGCCCCTCGCTGGCGCGTCCCTCCGGCCCCGGGGCTGCAGGCTGTAGGCGCTGTGCGTCCCGCTCCCGGGACCCTGCGAAGCAGCCGCGCTGGGCGCAGGAAGGATCCCCGCGGACAGGAGTCTCCGCCGCCGCGGCTCCCCGCGCCCCAGCCCCTGTCCCTCCCGCATCCGGCAGCCCCTGCCCACGCAAGGGGACAAAGCGGCGGCTCCGGGGCCCCGCGGTTCCAGCCTCTCGCAAGCCCGGCCTCGCTCACCTCTCGCGCGCAGCTCCAGTCCCCGGGCGCCGCCCTCGCGTTCGGCTCCGACCGCCGTCCGCCCCTGCCCCGCGTCGCCGCCTGCCCGCGCGCGCCCGCCAGTCCTCCGCGGCCCCTCTGCCACCGCCCCTCCGTCCCCGCCCGGCTCCGCGCCCCTGGGCTCGGGCTCCCCGCGCCACCACGGCGGGCGCCGGCTCTTTCTCCAGCGCGGCCGCGGCTCTCCGCCCCCTTCCCCTTGACGTCAGGCTGGGGGGGTCGAGCGGAGGCCGGGGGCGGGCCGCGAAGCCTCGCTCAGGAGGGGGCTGCGACCCGCAGCGACCTGTGGACCCGCCCGCTCTCCGCCCGGGGGCTCGGACCTCCGCCCCTCCGGGTGCCCGGACCTCAGCCCTGCCGGGTGTCCGGCCGCCCCGGGGCTCGGAGTCGCGGGCTGCGCCACAGCGCCCGGAGGGAGGTGGGGCGGGGGAGGGACTCCGGGTCTGGCCACGGGGGACTCTCACTCACCCGGTCTTTCCGAAGTGTCCCCCGAAGACCCCCGGCGGGCTGGGCTGGGGAGAGGGACTCCCGACCCTGCAGTTGCAGGAACGACCGCGGGCGAGCCACGTCGAGGCGAGTATCCGGGGGAGGCACGTGGGGAAACCGAGGCGTCTCTTGGGGCGGACCAGAGGGGTCTGCCTTTTGGCCCCCCGATTCTGCCTCCTTCTAGGCCCCGAGGACCACTGGTCCCTGCCCTCAAGTCTGGAAAGGGCTTCACCAGCGAGGAAGACTCTTCAATCTACAGTAGGGGTCTGCTCCTGCTTCTCACGCTTTGGGCAAAGCGCCTCTCCCCAGAAAATGACTCCTGGTGCCACTGGAAGGCTGATTAACAAGTGGCATGAGCCCTACTGTTCAGATGAAAGGGGCTGGGGGGAGCCACGCTGCAGAACCACCGCCACCTTCAGAACCACCAGCCTCCGCCCACAGCCACTCCTAGAAACAACTTGTAGCTCTGGCCTCATGGGCGGTGCAGCGTCCTTCCTGCCAGCTGGTCCTCTGAGCTGGGCAGGTGGTTAGAAGAGGTGGTCCTCATGGAGGACACCCCACGGGCACCTGGAGACAGATGCTACCTCCTGGCTAGGGGCAAAAGGCAGAGGTGAAGGGACTTGAGGCCCTGAGGTTTGGCGGTAACCTTAAGCCAGGGTGCAGTCCTGGAGGGGAGGAACACTTCAGGCCGCGTCAGCAGATCTGGATTATAAATCAGTCCGACAGCAGCTTTTGTTCTGGGTTAAAACTTGGCATCTGAAAAGTGGAGACCAGAAGAGTGGTGGAGATAACTAAGAAAAGCAGCCCAGTTTGGTTTCAGTAACAATCGGGTCTTTGCTGGTACACATAAAGGCCCCTTCTCCCTTGCTGGCCAAAGCCACGTTTCCCAGCTCTTTTCCACTAGGAAAAAGACAAACGCTGTGGCCTTGGAGATGCTGCAGATAATGACTGTGGGGTGGGCAGGGAAGGCCTCCTGCTTCAGCTGACAAGGTGGGAGAAGATGTGTCACCCTCGTGTTGATTAGAGACCCCCATCTATTCAAGCGGGGGGGTAAACTGAGACGCAAGGGCCCTCACTTGTGTTCTGTGCTTTAGATTTTTGCAACTTGTCTTGATGTACATTTTCTTACTCCACTCTTTAAAAAGTAAATAATCTGGAAGGCTGAGACAGGAGGATCACTTGACCCCAGGAGTTCAAGACCAGCCAGGGCAACATACTGAGAGCCTGTCTGTACAAAAGAAATTATTTTTTTGAGACAGAGTCTCACTCTCTCGCCCAGGCTGGAGTGCAGTAGCACAATCTCGGCTCACGGCAACCTCCACCTCCTGGGTTCAAGTGATTCTTCTGCCTCAGCCTCCCAAGTAGCTGGGATTACAGGTGCCTGCCACCACACCCAGCTAATTTTTGTATTTTTAGTAGAGACGGTTTTCACCTTGTTGACCAGGCATGTGCCACCATGCCCAGCTAATTTCTGTATTTTTAGTAGAGATGGGACTTCGCCGTGTTGGTCAGGCTGGTCTCGAACTCCTGACCTCAGGTGGTCCACCCGCTTATGCCTCCCAAAGTGCTGGGATTACAGGCGTTAGCCACTACACCCAGCCCCAAATTTAAAAGAAAAAAAAAACTAGCGGGGCGTGGCTGTGTGCGGGGGCTCACACCTGTAATCCCAGCACTTTGGGAGGCCAAGGAGAGTGGATCACGAGGTCAGGAGATCAAGACCATCCTGGCTAACACGGTGAAACTCCGTCTCTACTAAAAATACAAAAAAATTAGCCGGGCATGGTGGCGGGTGCCTGTAGTCCCAGCTACTCGGGAGGCTGAGGCAGGAGAATGGCATGAACCCTGGAGGCAGAGCTTGCTGCAAGCCGAGATTTCACCACTGCACTCCAGCCTGGGCGACAGAGTGAGACTCCGTCTCAAAAACAAACAAAAAACTAGCGGGGCGTGGTGGCATGCATCTGTAAGTCCCAGCTGCTCAGGAGGCTGAGGTGGGAGGGTGGCTTGAGCCCAGGAGGTTGAGGCTACAGTGAGCCGTGATTGTGCCACTGCACTCCAGCCTGTAGAGTGAGACCCTGCCTTGACAAAATAAAAATATAAGTATTGTTACTCCCCTTTTGGAGATGAGTCAAAAAGATTAAACAACTGGCCCCAAGTCATGGAAATAAAAAGGTCAGAATTTCTTTTTTAGAAATGGGGTCTTGCTCTGTTGCCCAGTCTGGAGTGCAGTGGCACAGTCATGGCTCAACGTAACCTCGGACTCCTGGGCTCAAGCGGTCCTCCCCCGTCAGCCTCCCAAGGCTACAGGTGCATGCCATCACACACGGGACAGGGTCTCACTATATTGCTCAGACTGGAAAGGTCAAATTTTTAAATCAGGTCTTGGGACTCCCAATTCTGTGTTTCCACAGTCGCCATCTATCCTGACAATGCTCTGTTTCATGCTGGTTTTCCTCACCTTCAATACTACTCCCCCATCCCCCCACCTCTAGGTGTGAAGGTTGCCAGGTAGAGACCTGAGCTCTCTGGCTCTGACTCCAAGGTGGCCTCAGTGGAAAGTTTCAAAAGGCAACCGGTTTGGTTTCACTGGCAGGGCAGTGGCAGGCGTTTGGGTTCTGGAGGCCCAGGGATGTAGAAGCCTCCAGCTAATAGACTCCACGCGCTTATCCTCCCAAACAGTCTCAGAAGCTCCCAGCTCCCTCCCCTTTTCCACCTTCAGGCACCTCCTGCTGTATCCCGTCCATGCCGGCACTGGCCCTTTCTGTGGGGGTGGGCAGAGGATACAGTTTCCTGCATGGCTACTTGCTCGTGATTCATACTTCTAAATGAAAGTACAACGGACAGAATAAAAGGATTTCTGGGTCTTCGATTAAGACAAAAATTACTAATCCATGTACTGGGGGTGTGGGGAGGTGCATGTACCTGGCTAGTCTCCCTAGGGCCTAGCATATTCTGTGGAAGGTATCCACACTTTGGGACTCAGGCAGTGACAACTGCTTGTGGTCAAGGAAAGACTGAAATTGTGCTAAATGCCTCTCAAGGGTCTTCAGAGATCACCCAGCAGCTCAGGCCAGCCCCTAGAGATGACCTAGGAGTCTCTTCTGAAAAGCAAGTCCCCTTCCCCATCTCTTGATGTTGGTTGTGGGCCACACTGCCCTTCATTTGAGCTACTCGCCTGCCAGCTCTCCTGAGGCAGCTGGAGGGAGGCCCGGGGTGGATACTGGGTTCTCTGGTGAACGCTGCCCGGTGGATTTCCAAGGCAGCCAGGACTGCTGTCATCCCCCAGACGGGGAAGTGAGAAAGCCTGGGTCAGCTACCCTTCAAGGGTCTTTCTGAGGGCCTGGGGACCGCGGTGACTGGCGACATAGGCATAGGAAAAGAACTCTCCCTCCCTACTTCCTCCAAAGGAGAGTTATCAAAGCCGCCCACCTGGGACGCCTTTCCCTTCCCAGCCCCTCCCTGTCACCAGGACCAAAAGGAAGCAGGAAAACATCCGTCATCACAGCCCCGGATGCGGATTTTCCAGTGGCTCCTATCAGGATATCCCCCAGCCTTTTCCCAAGGGCTTAGGGATCTGGAAAAGTCAAAGATCTGGAGGGCAAGTGGTCATCGTGCCAGCACCACTGTGAACATCTGGGCCTTGGGGAGGCTGAGTCTCCAACTGATCCCAGACTAGTTTTAGAAGATATGGTCAGCTCCCAGCCAGTCCCAGAGAGAGCCCATTACACACCCCAGGGGACAGCATACGCCCTTGGGCGACCTCACAGTGCACACCTCTGCTCGGGTTACAGCCAGGTCTCTGGAGGGACTGAGCCGTCACCGACACCTCCTCTCCCCTTGGTATCTATCTTGGGGATGAGTATGTTTGGGGAGCAGGAGAGGAGGGGACAGTGGATAAGAGCCAGGACTGGGGAGGAAGGCTCCAGTGATCAATGCTGATGGACAGCTCAGCTCCTTCTCAAGAGCCAGGTAGGGCCACCTTCCAGACCTGGAAACTCCCGTTTAGCCTCTCAGGCGTCCCTACTTCCTCTTTGCCCTTGGCAGTAGGAACAAAGAAGGGAAATTTCAAAGGTGATTTCCAGGTTTCCAGAGAAAAGTGAATAGTTACAGATGAACTGTCAGTGCATGCCGTGTGGAGCAGGGCAGCCCCGAGGGCGGGTGGAGGAGGCTGGCTCACCAGAGTCCCTGCTCGCTCATTGGAGGATCTGAGGTTGACCTGATGCTGCTGGGGCTTCGGTGGTGCCCGGGCCATGGGGGCATGTGATGCGGCTGGGAACAGAAACCAGAACTCTCACGGAGGTCACCTGGCATCTAAGTCACCCTGGCCGAGGGTTTCTTCCACCTCTCGTTTGGCAAAGGCTGCCAGGCAGAAAGGCATCCTGTGTGGTATCCAGTACTGTGCTGTGCCCGTGCCCCTGAATAATAGATGCCTCCAGCTCCTGGCGTTCCGGGGACGCAGTGAGTGAGGCAGCTGTGTCTGAAACAGCCCCAGAGCTGGTGAACTCCACTTGGGGTCTGCACGTGGAGCCACTTGGCCTGAAAGTCCTTTATTTTGGGGGAATCTCTCCTAGTTAGCCCGCCCTCCCTATCCCTGTGCATGAAAGCCAAAGAGAGGGACGCATAAAAGCAGAAGAGTTGTACGCAGCGCCGTGGGAGCTAGCAGACAGCCAGGGTTGAGTTGAGGAGTGGACACAGTCCAGTGTGGCAGGGGCAGTCCTCTGCCACTGCCTAGCTACCTCTTGTATCACCTGCAAAACCCCATCCAAACCCAGGAAGGGTCAGGAGGGGCCAGGGACTAAACATGGATTCTCAGGGTTGGAGGAGTGTGCAAAATAGATCTCCAGCGGTATCCTGGAGCTCAAAGGGCCACTCACTCCTCAAGGCGTTCAGGTCAAAACTACCTAGGACCCTATCAGGAATCAGGTCCCATGAACTCATCTGGGGCAAGTCAGAGGAAAAGCAAAAGCAGCATCTGCAAGTGGCTTCTGAACCGCCCCCACTCCTGAGGCTGGGGAGTTGATTTCAGAGCTCAGCACTAAATGGAATTAAGTGTAATTACAGCCCTGATCCACATTTCACTCTGTGCCACCTCCTCAGCAGGGGCGGGGAATGGGGAGTGGTCCCACACTGGGTCCAAACAAACGTCCCGTTCCTGGGTTTCTGACAGCTCTTGGGCCACAGTGGGCTGTGGGGAGCACTGCCCCTCCCCGGGGACTTGCAGACAGCCCTCTGCTACAGGCGGGGCCTGGGCCTGCCCCAGTGCTGTTAACTGTGGAGCTGAGAACCCAGCGAAACACAGGCAGGAGCATCAGGAGACTGGACGCTGGCATGAGCCCTCGGGACAGGGACTGAAGGAAGTGTTCTAAACCACTGATGCTGAAAGACTTTAATGTGCACAAAGAAACCTCACACTGGTGACAGGGAGAGAGAGGAAGGAGGGTAGGGAGGACGGAGGCCCAGGGAAACCAGAGCTATGGAGACAGAGGCCTTAGGGAAGAGGAGATGGCTGGGAGGAGGGCTGAGGGGTGGGCGAGGCAGGGAAGCCCATCCCTTGCTGAGAGGAGAGGCGGTCAGGGCGGCGGCAGAGGCAGGCTCTTGCTTCATCAGGCTGGTCAGCATGTGGCCGCCTCTGGCCTTGATGCTTCGCTTCCTCCAGTTCCCTGAGCCTGTTCACTTCCTGCTGGAGCCAGGAGCCCTGGGCTGCCCTGACCCTGCTCTTTTAGATGTTTTTCCAGGGGCTGAAGTACTGGGCCTGCGGCAAGGAGAAAAGCAGGCTGTGAGGGCCTGGGCCCAGGTGTCGCCCACTGCCCTGCAGGCCCTGCAGCTCCCCGGGCTGGCGGTGTCCATTCAGCACCCGTTGCAGGCTTATGCCAGGGACCGACTGAGCAGGATGCCTGGGTTCACAGTGCTGGCGAGGACACAGCGGTCATCAGGCTACGTGACTGTACAAGTGGTCTGCCAGGGCCCCCCTGCCGGGCCCTGAATCACTTTTCCTTCTTCTCGTGACAAGCACGCTGCTCCCACCAGAGGCTGGTGAGATCTAGTTCCTTGGGGCGTGAGGGTGAGGTTTGTTCTCTAGCCTTCTCAGAGACTTGGCGAAATCTGAGACCCAAACCACAGGCTGTGGCCCACGTGTCAGCCCTAAGTCAGAGGTTATGGGGTAAGGACGGGAGAGGAGTCAAGAGGAGCAGGCTAGGAGTGGAGGGGCACTGGTGGTGGGGTGGGAGGTGGTCCTCACAGGTCCTGTGCCCCTCCACAGAGGGCTGGGGGCTCAGGCAGGGAGACCCCGAGCCGGCCCAGCAGGGTGCTGCTTGGAGACATGGGGCTGGAAGGGAGGGCACCAGCACAGGGGCTGAAGTTGGTTAGGTTGGAGGCTTGGGAGTCAGGCTGCCTCATGCCCTGATTCTGACATTCGCACAAGCTGCCTGCATCATGGGGGTAAGCCATCGAGCCTCTCAAGGCCTCTGGTTAGTCTGCTCCTCTGTAAAATGGGCTCCTGGTAACACCTGCCTCATGGGGGTTGTGTGGGTTCTTATAGAAACAGATCTTCATTCAAGAAACACTAGCTGTGAATATCACACCTACAAGCTCTGAGAAGACTCGGCGGGGGTAGGGGGTGTAGTGGAGAGGACCCAGGCAGCCTGGGAGCCTTCCTCCTAACACAGCAGGAGGCCAGCCTCAAGCCCACAGCACAAGTGGGCAGAAGGTGAACAGCTGGGGCCCCTTCCTGGCACTGCTCATGACAGACTGGCACTCTGGGTCCAGACTTTTCCCTCTCCAGGGCAACTTTCCTTTGCATTTCCTGAGGACTGCGCTTCTCTGTGTCCCCTTCCCTCCGCACCCACCCTGGGCACTGGAATTTTTTTTTTTTTTTTGATATGGAGTCTCGCCCTGTCGCCCAGGCTGGAGTGCAGTGGCGCAATCTGGGCTCACTGCAACCTCTGCCTCCTGGGTTCAAGCGATTTCTCCTGCCTCAAACTCCAGAGTAGCTGGGATTACGGGTGCCCGCCACCATGCCCGGCTAATTTTTTGTATATTTGGTAGAGACGGGTTTCATCATGTTGGCCAGGCTGGTCTCCTGACCTTGTGATCCTCCCACCTCGGTCTCCCATAGTGCTGGGGTTACAGGCGTGAGCCACCATGCCTGGCCTTTGGCACTGGATTCTTGATAAGAATGATGAAGGCCCCTCAAGCGTCCCCACCCTTCCCCCACATGCCCGCTCCACCCACGTCCCTGCCAGGAGCTCAGCAGCTGCAGCGAGGGTGGCTGCGCCGGTGGCTCTGGCCAGCCCTGCCTGACCACTTCCCGCCCCTCCCAGGTCTGGGGGCTGAGGGGGCACCACCTGGGGCTGGCAGTGGGTCAGAAGCTCCTGCCAGCGGATGTAGGTCTGGGTAGCCAGGTCCTTGAGCATGGTGTGGTGCGTGGCCTGGGGGCTCTCCCGGATCTGTGCGCTGATGTGGCGATCCAACTGCATGCACAGCAGCTGCAGCTCGCCCTGCGGAGGCGGAGGGAGGCCGAGAGGCGAGTGTAGCACGAGCCAGGCACATCCAAAGCAGGGCAGGAGGAGAACAAATTCAGACAAAGGAAGGGGCACATCTGAGTGACTGTTCAGAAGCTGAGCAGGAAAAGGAGGACGGGGCCAGCACAACTGCTAGGGCTCTGGTCAGTGTCCCTTGGGAATGGCTCGGCTGGTGGGGCACTGTCGGGAGGAAGAGGCCCTGGCTCTCCCAGGCTGGCTTCTCTCTCAGCCTCCTGCTCTCTGCAGTTCCTAACAGTGGGCTGGGCGCCATCCCAGTCAACCCCACGCCGCTTGGGGGAGAAGACACAGCTGGGCACCCCCACCCCAACCCCGGCCCTTGGGAGACTCACCCACTGGTCTGGAGTGACGTCCCGGCAGCTGACGACCACCCCGGCCAGCGTCAGAAGGCTGTGGCACAGGTAGCAGGCCTGGAGGGAGAGCACAGGGGGAGCTGCTTCTCTAACTCCGCCAGGGCAGCACGGCAGGCCAGGGCGGGGCTCACTCCACCCCTGGGCATTCAGCGACAGTTTCCAGGGAGGCATCTTCAAGGCGGCCTGGGTGAGCCAGGCTCTGGGCCCGCACTCACTCGAAGCTGTGACTCCCTAGCAGGCTCTCCCAGCCTGCCCTCTGATGAGGTGCCAACCTTCCCTCCTCTAGAAAACAGAGTCAGCCATCCAGAAACACACACTGTTCCCCAGCCTTGTGCCGGGACAACAGAGGACACCTTCTGAGAGGAGCCTATCCACTCTGACCTCCGCAGTCTCTGTTCCCCGGGCCACCCTTACCCGTAGGTACTGAGGCCAGGGTGCCTCTGTGCAAACAGCAAAGGGAGCCCCCTCTGGGGGGATGTGGCGCATGGCTCCTGGACTCGGCCTACCCCTTGGCAGAATGCCACCTGCAGCAACACGGGTGTAGCCTGCCTGGACAGTCTCCTTGCTGACCCGAGGAGGCAGGTGGAGAGACGGGAGCCGATGGTTCTGGCTGAGTGTCTGCACACCTCGCCTCCATCCTCATTCCTGCCAACTGCACTCTCAAGCAGTGAAAACAGGACGCAGGCCTGCTCCATCTGGCCCGAGAACAATTTGATCTTGAGGCACCCCCGGGCTCTCTTGGTGCCCATTCGCTTATGGGCTACGTGCTTGCCGTTTAGAGAAACCAAGTCATGGGGAGTGTCCCAGGGCGTGAGGCTCCAGCAGGGACACAGCCTGCTCTGGAGTCCCAGTCACTGCCCGCAAGCGCACCCTCCACTCAGAGGCCCCGCTGCCTTGTCCTCTCAGCTCTCTCTTCACGTCTAGGATCAGGAGGTGGCAAATGACCAGCCCTGCGGACAAGCAGGGGTGGGAGAGGTGGGCTCTAGAGATGCCGGCAGGTGACAATGGGCTGGAGCTCAGAACCAGCCCATGGCCCCTGTGCCCCAGCTTCCCCTGACCTTATCACCCTGCCCTCCCAGGGCGCCAGGCAGTGCCTCAGCAATGGCTACAGCTTCTTTGCACAGGCCCAGGAGTCTCCTCAGGGCAGAGGCCAGACCACTTCTCAGGGCATCAGATTTGGTGCCATCAACTGACTTCTTAAACCCCAATACCGGCCAGGCACGGTGGCTCACGCCTGTAATCCCAGCACTTTGGGAGGCCAAGGAGGTAGCCGGGCGAGGTGGCGGCGCCTGTAGTCCCAGCTGCTCTGGAGGCTGAGGCAGGAGAATGGCGGGAACCCGGGAGGCGGAGCTTGCAGTGAGCCGAGATCGCACCACTGCACTCCAGCCTGGGTGACAGAGCGAGACTCCGTCTCAAAAGAAAAAAAAAAAAACAAATAACACAGTGTAAAATCCTGAGGTCAAAGGCCACCTGAGGCTCCCACCAGCAGCACCCACCCTGCCTGGGACCCAGCCTGTTCTTCAACACAACCGTGAAGGCCCACGGGCGGTCTGACTCCACAGGCTGACCAGGTGGCCCTGCCCACGGCACGCAGAGAAGACACGGTGGGGGAAACTGAGGCATGCCTCCAGGAGAGCTGCCGTGGGGTGGGGAAGACCCAACCTCTGTGAAGCCTAGCTCCCTCTACCTGCCGGGTCCCAGTCGCCCGGCCCAGCTGGCCTGCTGGTGATGCACTGCTGGCTCCCTGAGCTCCCCTTCCCTCCAACCTGGCCTTGCCTTTGGGACTCTGTCCAGCCTTTGCAGTCCTGCAACAGCTCACTGCCCCTTGTCATAAAGCAAGTTTGGGCCTGTGTGCCGGACACTATACCTTGACTGAGACACGGTGACGTGAGACACTCAGGCATTAGAGGGACAAAGATACTTCAGGAGGGCAACCATTTGGTCAAGAAATAACGTATCTCTGCTTCTGCACTGACCAAAAGGAGAAAGGGCCCTTCCAGGGTTTTGGGGGTATAGGGAGTACAACTTAGAGGCTTCAGGAAGTGACTAAGCTAAAGTGAGCCTCAAAGGAACAGTAGGAGTTGAGGCAAAGATGGCCCTGTGCAGGCAGAGGAGGGCTGATGACAGACCCTGAGGGCGGTTCCAGAACCAGGGGCCGGCACAGGTGCAAGGGAGTCAGGGTGACCTGGGGGCAGAGTTGTAAGGACAGGGGGTGCCTGGGGGAGGCAGGTGAGAGAATGTGGCCACACTGGTGTGCTGGAATGCACTAGGCAGTAGGAGAATGAGCTCCCTCTGGGAGAAAGGATTACAGGGTAGGTAGCCTTATCTTTCCTTTTTCCTTTTTTAAGATTATTTCTCTATAACGTGTATACTCATACAGTGAGAATACAATGAAAGCTGCTTTAAAACTTTTTTTAACAAGATACTGCCAACTGTAATTGACTGAACCTAACTGGGTTTGGGGTGGGCGTGAGGCCTGGGAGCGGGACTTGGCCATGAAAAGAAGCTGAGACCCAGGCTGGGTGAGGTGGTTCATGCCCGTAATCCCAGCACTCTGGGAAGCTGTGGCGCAGGAGTTGGAGACCAGCCTGGGCAACACAGCGAGACCCCGTTTCTACAAAAAACCAAAAAGTTATCAAGCATGGTCACCTGTAGTCCCAGCTACTTGGGAGGCTGAGGCAGGCGGATGACTTGAGCCTGGGAGGTTGAGGCTGTAGTGAGCTGTAACTGTGCTATTGCACTCCAGCCTGGGCAACAGAGCAAAATGGTCTCAAAAAAAAAAAAAAAAAAAAAAAAAAAAAGCTGAGGCCCGTCTTTGAGAGGGCAAGCGAATGATGAGAGGTGGCAGGGGATGCCGAGAAAACATCCAAGGGTTATCAGGGACATCACTGAGAATGGCTGGGGAAGGCACCCTGGGGTCTGCAGGGGAGACTGTGTGGGCCTGGGAGGGGCGAACGGGGGCCTGTCTCTCTCAGACCTTTCAGTCTTAAACACTCCCAGCCCCGGGTGGCGCAGCTCAGTGGCCCGCTCCACCCATGGGCTCTCAGGGGAGTCTTCCTGTATGGAGGGGGCCCGGCTGCAGAGCTTCCCCTCCTAGGAGTCGTCGTGGGGAGGGTCTGAGATCCGAGCAATGCCCTGGAGAAGTATCAGGGAGGAAAAATCCGTCAGTGGACTGACCCCAGGCAGTGGAGAGTTACTGGTTTCACAACTTGTTTCTGATGCTGATTCCCATAATTGAATCTGCAGGGGCAGGGAGGGGGAGGGGAATCCCAGGAAAACGATTCCCAGTGTTTGGGTGGACAGTGAGTAAGAAATGGCAGTCCTGGAGAAAAGCCCTGTGAACCACATTTTATCAGCTGTGTTTTGCAAAGGGAAAACACTAAACCCGCCACATTGCCTGGAGGCTGGGTGCGGGTCCTCCTTGCATTTGAGGGTGCTTCCTGTAAGGAAGACGTTGACCCAATTTAAGGAGCTTGGTGGCTGTGCAGATGCCCTCCCTTGGAACATTTCCGGGGGCCTGACTGAAGCTGGGTTCCCAATGGGGATTTGGAAAAGCAGCCTTCACTACTGGCATAGGAAGTGCCAACACTTCCATCTCCTCCCTGCATTTCCCCAGGACTCTTGGTCTCAGAGTTGCAAAGAGGTAAGAGAGAGTCTGATCCTGTCCAGACAAGGGGCGTGGTGTCCCCACCCTCCCACGAGGCCCCTCTCTCTGTGTGAAGGTCAGAGGAACAAAAGCTCAGCGGAAACTGGGGACTCTGTGGCCGGGAGCAGGCAGACCCCGAGTCTCCCCATCTAAACCGCCAGCGGCTGTGGACACCCGAGTTGCCCAGCCCAGCTGGCTTGCTGGTGATGCACTGCTGGCTCCCTGAGTTCCCCTTCCCTCCAACCCAGCAGGCGGAGGCACGGGAGGGGTGCAGGGCAGGCAGGGGTGGGCCCGAGTGAGGGGGCCCTTCCCAGCAAGACAAGAAGGGCCAGGTGTGAGCGCTGCGTTTCCTGCTTCCTTCGCGGTGTGACCAATTCCTGAACTTAGCAAGCCTGCTCCTGTCCTGGCTGGCACTAGAGGCACGGTTCCTCTTCCCTTCCACCAGGCAGGAGACAGAGGCTGAGCCAAGGCTGCAATCCCTGCCTTACCTGCTTCCTCTCCCTCTGGGAGCACAAGGTGGCCCTTCTATATGCCAGAGGGAGGCCCTTCCAGGTCTCTTAGAACTGCTTGGTGCGGTGGGGACTTCATTGTGGCCTCAGGGTTAGCCCTCCTTGGGTGCTGGGGGCTATATTTGTCCAGGCCTTAGGACCTTGTCTGAAGATGGGACCCAACTCCTGCCCCACGGCACGTCAGTCAGGCTGTGAAGCCCTGATGGGAAATGGGACCCCGGAAACCTCAGTCAACATCATGGGGAAAGGCAGAGTCTGAGGGCATGCCTGGACCCAGTACTGACAAGAAAAGCCCGGCCCATCCCTGCCACCGCTGCCAGCAAGGGCCCAGCTCCCGTGTTCTGGGTCTTCCCCGGAGTCTGGTGGGCTGGCTCTTCTCAGAAGTTCCACGCAGGAATGCCTCACTCCTGACTCTAGAGCCTTCACGGGGGCCGTGCCCTCCCCCTGGGGAAGGAATGACAAGGCTGAGTGACGGCAGACAGCAGACTGGGACTGTCACCAGAGGAAGGGAGGTCAGCATCTCCATGTTCTGGTCCAGCTAGTTCTGACCCCAGGCTCCCCCAGCCAAGACTCCCAAGTCAAGTAGGAGCGATTAGCAGTGCTTTTGTCATAGACAAAAGGGAAAAAGGGTGGACATTTCCCAGGAACTTCATCCTTTAGGAAATTCCCCTCCAGCCAACGCCAAGGGAGCAGGCTGTGGCCTGGGCTATTTACGCTGAAGGAGGGCAGGAAAGGAGGACGGAGATGCTCTCCCAGGAAGCCACTCGCTCTGGCCAGAGCATATAACCTTTCTCCCCGCTCAGGTCATGACCAAGAATCCAGTCTTAACCCTGGACAAGCCTTCAAATCCAGCCCTCTCCTGGAGGCTGCCAGACCGGGTAGGGAAGGCAGACCTGCTTCTG